TCATATGGAAAGTGTTTTACAAACATTTCTGCTGGCTTCTGAGCAGGTATGTGACAGTCTGTCCCTGTTGACTTCAAGGAACTCTTGAATGATGTTCTGAGATAGAAATGTAACTGCAATCATCATTGCACAGATTGGGATGCTTCCTAAGAAGGATACAGTTAGTTACACAAATGCCAGAAGGGGACTTGGAAGCTGATGAATCCCTCCATTTTGTTCATTCGTGTGACAGTGCTGTTGGGAAATGAAATTCTCAGAATTGTATCTGCCAAATTACAAAGAGTGAAAATATAACCTCTACAAAAAAGTGGACAAGTAGACAAGCCTTTTAAATTTTCTTCAGAAATACTAGGCCAACAAAGGATCTTTGTTACAGGTGTCCCTGTGCAGGTTACAGGTTACTTGCTTTAAAATAAGTAAAGAAAACAGCACTAGCACATAATGTCCTATACTTTGGTCCCTTCAAATGTTTGTTTTTAGTTATGAGAAATGCTACTGATATTTAAGCACTAGTGATAAGAGTTTAGGAGATGCCACAGCAGATGAGTTCTGATGCCATGGAGTTTGTCATTTTATCAGCAAACACTGCTGAATGTTTGGAGGGGTGTATAAAACCACTTAATGGGGAATAGGTAAAGCATAGTTTGCTATCTTCTTCCTAGCTACTTCTAAATGCTTGTAACTGGAAACAGGTTTGGACACTAAAATGACATTTGCTCTCTTCCAAACTATTTAGCACAAATATGTTTTGAAAGCTTGCCTGGTTATATGTCTCGAAGTCCAAATTAGTTGAGATATATGATTGGAGGATGAAAATCTCAGTTTGTGAAACATGTAGGAAGTTCTTTCTTCAGTGCTTTTCTACATGGGTAGAACCTCACCAGAGAGGCACAGATGAACAACCCAGTTGTGTTTCCAAGTGACAAGAATGCTGAGGTTTCAGTCAATAAGCATCTTGAGATGAAAGTAAAAGTATAGAGAAGACAAAGGGAATGAAAAAGCAGGAATGAAAACCAAATCTTTAACAGTTAAAAAGTAGGGGAAAGAAATGCTTTTTCACGCAGTCAGTCACTTTCCATTGTTAACCAGGTGGTATTTTAGCTTATATCAACACTAGGAATGATGATACATAAGTTCCAAGTTGTGATTACTTATATAGCTATACTCTCACTTCTATGGCTGATTTTTTTTCCAGGATAAATGTAGGTGAAGTAACCAAGTGATGAACATAAGTTGTTTAACTTCATGTGTTTTTTTTCTGAGTATTGCTCAAAGCTGGAAGCAATAAGTCAGGGTATTCTAGATCTGGATTGTAAAAGTTGCCTTTATGCCAAAGGATGCAACCTCAGTTCAGTGCTCATGGCAAGGACTGCAGGAGGTCTCCATTTCAACCTCCTACCAAGAACAGGGCCACCTCTGTGCTCAGACCAAGTCATTAAGGGCTTTAGTGAATGAGGACTTGAAAATCTATAAAGATGGAAAGGACACAGTTTTTCTATTCCTTGTTCCACAGCTGAGCTACTATCACAGGGAAAGAGAGTCTCCTTATAAGTTGTACTTATTGCTCTGTTTTTAACTTATGGCTGTTGCCTCTCATGCTCCCACCACACATCACTATGAGGATCCTTGTTCCTTTTTATCAGCATCCTTACTGCACAGAGCAGGGGGGTGGGGGTTGTGAGGGGAATGGCATGGAAGGACAAACTAAGCACAGTATATGTGTGTTGTCTAAGGAGTGCTAAGGAGAAGTGACATTTGGCTCTCAGGCCCACACCATCCCAGGCACAACTGACCCTTGTGCCACCCACACACATGGCTGACTGTCTCAGTCTGCTGCCCACCAGCATCCAGAGCTGGCCAGCTGTGTCACTGCAGAGTCTGCCTTTCCAGTGCAAGACTCCATGCTTGTCCTTGCTGAATTTTGTCAGGTTCCTATTAGTTGGTCCATCACACTTGTCCAGGTACCTCTGAATAGCAGCCCTGCCTTCCCTCATGTCAGCTAATTGCTCACAATTTGTCGTCATCTCCAGACTTGATGAGAGTGACCCCCATCCACTTTTCTGAGATCCAGAACAGAGCAGGCCCCATTACAGACCCCTGCAGAACACTCTGGAAACAGACCTCCAGATATGATGTGACTCATGGACCATGACCTCGTGAGTGAGAACAATTTGTCTGCCAGTTTTCTACCTATGTAGTTGTTGTCCCATTCACACTGTAATATCCTAACCTCAATACATGAATGGTGTGGAGATGGTGTGAAAAGCCTTGTTGATGAGGAAATAAATGGCATCCACTGCACTTCCCTCATCGACAAATCCAGTCATTTTACCATAGAAAATGATCATGTTGGTCAGGCATGATTTATCTTTAATAAATCCGTGCTGACAGTTTCCAGTCACTGTCTTCTTCATGAACATTCCTGGCACCATATTCTCAGGGACTGATGTGATGCTAACTAGCCTGTAGTTCCTCAGATTAGTTTAAACACTTTTGGAAGATGGGTGTGACATTTGCATTTCTCCAATCACTGGGAGCCTCTTTCAGGATCCACTGGCTGATGGCTTGTGAGGACATCAGCCATTTCCTTCATCGTCTTCATGTACAGCCTATCAGGTCTCAGTCACTTGTGTGGATCAAATATTTGAAATACATCCTTTTTTCAGTCTTCATCACCTACTGGTAACTCATCTCTCCCTCTGTCCTATCACTAGGTGCAGAGGCCTGGCAGACCTTGCTGGTGATGACAGTGAGCACTATTCCCTTATGTGTGTCCATTGCCTCTATGTCTCCTACCCCATTCTAAAACAGGTCCAAGTTGTCCTTGGTCAGCTTTTTACTGCTAACAGTAGTAGAAACTCTTCTTTTTTCCCTTGACAACTTTTGCCAAACTGAATTCCACCTGAGCACCAGCCTCTTTGACACTACCCCTGTATGCCCAGGCAATGTTTCTCAATTTTCTCCTGGTGATCCACCTCTGATTTACTGTTTTGTTGGCTGTTTTTTTCACCTGGGCATCTGCCTTCTTACATGTTCCCTTTGTTCCCTTTGTTCTTCCTTATTGCAAGGAGGATGCTCTCCTTTATAGGCTGACTCCTTTGCCCTTCAAAGTTCAGTCCCATGAAATCTTACTTGCCTGAATAAGCCAAAATCTGCTGTCCTAAGTAGTGTCTGTGCTCTGTCAGTCCTGCCACCCTCCCTTGACTCAGAAACTTGACCTCCACTACATCAAAATCCATAACTGATTATCCTCACCCCAATCAGTTCTTCCTTGTCAGTGCACAGTGAACTGTGCATCACCCACTGTGATTCAGCCCCGGCTGGCCTGTCCAGTATCTGTATAACAAGAAATTACCCTTGACATCCTCAAGGATATATCCTGGATGGCTTGCATCTGGCCATGTGTCTCTTCCAAGAGATGTCATCTATCTAGACTTCTGTAAGGTCTTTGTCACGGTCCCCCACAGCATTTTTCCATCTACATTGGAGAGATACAGTTTTGATACTGTTTGGTGGATGAAGAATTGGCTGGATTGTCACATCCATAGAGTAGTGGGCAATGACTCAGTGTCTGGGTGGAGGTCAGTGATGAGTGGTGTCCTTTAGGGACTAGTACTGTTTAAGATCTTCACCAATGGTAGAGACAGCAGAATTGAGTGCACGCTTATCAAGTTTGCAGATGACATTGAGTCATGTGGTGCAGCTGATGCACCTGAGGGACAGGGTGCCATCCAGAGAACCTGGACGAACTCGAGAAGTGGGCCCATGGGCATCTCATGAGGTTTAACAAGGCCAAGTGCAAGATGTTGCACCTGGGTCAGGGCAACTTATGGTATCAATACAGGCTAAGGGATAAATACAATATAACACCTTGATAATTTAGACTGAAAGCAACTGTTTTTTCTGATATAAGTGTTTGGGGTTTTTTTCCAGCTTGTGTTTTTGAAAGTTAAGAACAGCATACTTGAAAAAATTGGAAATAGAAGTCAAGTTTTGCAAAATTCCATTTACTAGATAAAGTAGAGAAACCCTGTTTTCATTTGTTACAGTAAACTGCCAGTTGGATAGGGCTGAAATCTGCCCTACGATGGAGCACTTTTTATCTTTGGCTGTGTTTTGTGGATTTGGCAAGCTAAGATTGGGACACCTCCTCTGAAGCCCTGAAATATATGGACATAGCCTTTTCCAGTGACCTGGTATTACTGAGCTTTCAGCGTTTTTACAGTATCTGCAGTTCTATTTTCACTTAACAGAATAAAAGACAAAATCATAGAAATTCTCGTGTAAGGTAGCATGTATGTGATAGTGTTCAGTCTCACATATATGGTTAAAGTTACATGTTTACTAATAAATGGCTGATTTGAAGACTGGGAAGGGCATAAAAGCAAATGTAAGGGCCACTCTCTTATGCAGTCTTGAGTGTTAAAATCTATTACTTCAAACCCTGGTCCATAAACCCTGGCATTAATGTTGATTTGTGAGGGCTTGATTGCAAGACAGTGGTCCAGAGTGGTAGGTGATTTCTTTCTTGGTAAGGGGTGCTTTAAATCCTGAATCTTTTGGTTTATATATATATATATATATATGTGTCTATCTCAACAGAGATGTATCAAGGATGTAACTCCAAAAATGGCCTCTCCAATGTCAAATATTTTTCTTTCTTTGTGTAAGGCCTTATTTGTTATTGTAACAGATTTTGAAAATCTTTTCACAAGTGCTGGATCTGCACCTTTTTCAGCAGACAAGTGAGGGCTATCTTCTGAGCCAATAATATTTTTTAAAGTGCCTTATTTTCCTGAAGTAGTAAAAGCTATATTTTTTTTATAGCTGAGACCATTTTTAGAAGTCATGTCCAGACAAGCCCAACAGGTATAAAATTTCTTTGGCTGAGCTGGAGAGCAGAACACAGGGTTGAAGTAAATTCCTGAGCCTCCTTCCTTCGAGAGCATCAATCGAAGAAGGACAGACCATGGTCATGGCAAGATTTTCCCAGGGAAAACATGGGACTGAGGGACTGCGGGGTGGAAAAAATTGAAACTCCGCCGGGTACAGATTTCTCTGCCTTTATCTTGTCCCAGGCACATCGCATCGGCAAGCACCCAGGCACACTCGCGCACATGCGAGACGCACGTCGTGCTGTCTGGCAAACCTCCTCGTCGGGAAGGGCGCCAGCGACGCGAAGTGCAATCCAGTGGCTTCCCCCTCCCTCCTCCCAAGAAGAGTTATTTTAAAACTTCAGGCATAGTTCTCGGTAGTAACAGTGACCAGGGATAAAAGGGGAAGGGAGGAAGTGCGGGAGGGAGCGTGGTAACAAGGGAAGTGTTAAAACCCTCCGAGGCTGTTGCAGAGCGGCTGCAGCAGCAGCAGCAGCATTAGCAGGGTGAGCCGGGACGGGAGGGCAGCGATGGCTACGGGGCCGGGACAGTCCGGGGAGCGGTGGCGGAGCTGCGGAGAGGCACCTTGCGCGGGTGGTCCCGGCTCCGCCCGGCGGTGAGGGCACGGCCGGGGCCGGCGCTACCCGAGCGGAGCGGAGCCGCAGGAAGCGGGCGTCCGAGGGGGCTGGCACGGCCCCGCCCGGCCCAGACCGAGCCCGCAGCAGCCGCCCGGGGAGAGCGGCGGCAGCCCACTATGTCGCTGCCGGCGGGGACGCCGGAGTCCCGCGGCGCCCCGCACAGCTTCGCCCCGCTACCCCGGCCAGCTCAGGGCCGCCGGGGGCCGCCGCTCTCTCGCCGCCGCCGCTCCGCCCAGACGAGCTGCAGCGCGGTCGCCCATGCCCATGCCCATGCCCATGCCCATGCCCATGCCCATGCCCCCCGGGCACGCTGCCCGCCATCTCGCTGCTCGGGCTGGCGCTGCTGCAGGTCGGCCTGGCCAACGCCCTGGTGGCGCTGAGCGCGGTGGTGCGGCTCAGCAGAGCCGGGCAGATGAAGAACGCGTGCTCCACCTGGGCCGGCTCCTCGGTAAGTAGCAGCTGCAGGTCCGGCGGGGCGTGCGGAGCACCTGCGGAGCACCTGCGGGGCAGAGCGGCCGCCGGTCCCGCTCCTCAGCGCCCGCTTGGAAATAGGGTGCAGGTAATGCTTTCGCTGACACTTTAGCCAGGGTGTTAGCTTGACCCCAGATAGGGGATTTATTTCCTGACGTGCATTTTGCCCCGCCCCCAAGTTATTTTACACAATCAGAAACAGGATTTTCGAAAGTCACTGTGTATGTAGATGTTATATATTGCTTTATTGCATTGTGTTGCGTATCGATTTTATGTGTTGCGCCTTTCCTCTCGTGACAGAGAAAACAGCAATGTTCCAGGGGGAAAAAAAAATGGATGGGCTTGAGACAGTTTTATAAAGAGTCCTGAGAGAAGTTATTCCATCTCGTGTTGAACTCTGCTTTAAACCATAGCTTTATAAATACAGAATATATATAATAGTTTGTGTTGCAGAAGCTCGGCAGTGGTAAGCAGAAATCAACAAGAGTAGAAGGATCAGGGTGACTGGTCACAGTTTCTGGGCCCTCGAGCAATGAGCAAGTTGTGTTCTGTGGCTGGGACGCTCAGCTCCTGCTGCTAGTGTGAAGAGCATCAGCCTATCCCTCAGTTCAGACATTTAAATTACATTGCCAGTGTTGTTCACCACCTGTGAAAACATGCTCCATGATCTGTGGTTTGGGGATCACACAGTCCTTGGGCAGTGGGGGGAAATCCAGGCCATCCAAATGGGTATTTTAGGTATCTCTCTTGTGATCTTTCATCTTTTTTTTTTCTTTACTCTAGGTTAAAAGAAGTTTAACTATATGTATAAGTTTAAGTATATAAGCTCTGGACTTTCTTTGAACTCTGCACACAGAACCATGCTTACACTTTTAAAATGTTTTAAAATTGCACATGGAAAATAGAAGTATCAGTATCTTTAATAATGAAGAAGGGTGTTGTTTTTGTTTGGCATTTTTTAATGCTATCTCTGAAACAGTAGTACACTCTGAAAAGTTACTGAAAATACCTTGTGGGTGTAACAACATGAGTGAAAATTTTAGCCCAGAAGCAACCTGGAAAAGTAGTGGTCATTAAAAGCTGGAATTGATGGTATCTGTTTTGAGTGGGGGTTTGGCTTGTTTTTTTTCGTTTGCAACACCAGTGATGATATCGGTAGGTGTTTTCATCAAATTGTATATCCACATTATGCTGGATCAGATTGATCATGTCAAGTGAATGAAGTTGCAGAAGGAACTTAATAAAAATGTTAGTGGATGACTTCCTGCTTGTTCTAGTCTTCTTGTTTCTTTTTAGTGTAGGAGCTTGATGTCTATTGGCTTAGTCACAAAGTCTCATGAGTTAAAAGTATACCTGTTGATTTGCAGGACATGCTGAAAAACTGATTTGCCTTTCTCTATAGTATTCCCTTTGTTCTGTGAGAGAGTATTTGGGTATGCTATTTGTTTCAGTTCTACAGCAATTCTTTCTCCTTCCTTTGTTGTTTTGCCCTCTAAGATAAAGAAAGTCATGGGGTTCAGTTCTGTGATTCAGCAAGTTTGGTCTAACAAGTGCTGTTGCAGAAGGATGTGCTTTTACTTCTATTCTTTCCTCATGCTGATACTGGCATTAATCTGATTAAACAGCAAGTCATTTCAGGGAGATAGTGCTGCTGCTCTTCGCTGGTTTTGGTAGGGTTCATGATCTGGGCTTTAGTTCACCAGAATGGTCAGAAGAGGGCCAGATCAGCACAATGGAAGAAAGAGGTAGGCACTTCATGAAGTGCTGGAGTGGCGACACAAGGTGGAGACACAGAGACAGTTTTTAGATTTGCTTGGCCATGCTGCAGAGAACAAGTGCTTAACTGGCTGAATATAATTATTTTAGGCAATTGTGGAGGTCAGAGTTGCTGACATACTAATTGCCCCCATGGATGTTTTCTGGGAGGAAAAAAATAAGAAAAGAATAGTTTTAAATTTGGTTGTGTTATTTCACAGGATGTTTTTAGGAATGAAAAACCTCATAAGCACACGTTGTTATTCTCCACTTTAAAATGCATCTTCATATCTTCCCAATGTTGTTGTAGTGTTCCAAAGTACCATTCATCAGAACAGTAATAAAAAAACAAGTAAATGGCATTTCGTGAACAGTTGTTCACTTCTTGATGTTTTTGATGTTGTAGGCAATGTTATGTGGAATCTTAGGGTTGACAACATGGAAGACAACAGTGATGATTTTGGTAAGTATGGGTTAAAATTTTGTAAGGAAATTATCAAAATATGATTCTGATTTAACAGTCATTGGTAAAAAGAGAAATCTCTTCTTTCTCCTTGAAAAAAAACATCTGTATGGTTGAGTCTCTCTTTTTAAATTGTAGAATCATAATTATTGAAAGAGGAGACCATGACTCCTGTATGGCTGGAGTCCTTAGTAAGGGCAAAAATGGACCATGTGTGGAAGAATTGTTAGGGTTGTTTACAGAACATATTTTGTGGTTTTGTATGTATAAGGAAGTGCTGGCTTAGAATAAATAATTTAGCTCTCTGAGGCAGTGCTGCTTAAACTTAAATGGGGGAGATGGCTTTAAAGCTTAGCTCAGTTGTAGTGTTTTTTGATAGCAGCTTTGAGTGCAAGCCGAAGTCTTGCCAGCTTACAGTACTATCCAGTGTTACCATTTCAGATACAGTTGGCATTGCAATGCTGTGAGGGAAGTAAATTGATGTGTTAGCTGTTTCCAATTGTAAGTGAAATCTGAAGCTGTGTGGCTCCTAATGTCTCAGAGTTGGGATTTGAAAAAGTGTTTTGGAGTTGCTTTTGTTTGTAGGTTTGGGGAGTTTTTTGGTGGGTCGGTTGGTTTGGGGGTTTTTTGTTTGTTTGGGTTTTTTTGCCTTACTGTCACTTCTGAAGACTTCTTCCAGGCCAAAGCAGTTGTTTCATTTTTGTGCAGGACTTCTTTGGGATCCACGTAGACATTGATGAGGAGTACCAACTATCAGACATGTGAGCTAGATATAGAATCAGAGAGTCATAGAATAATCAAGGGTGGAAGAGACCTTTAAGATCATCCAGTCCAACCATCAACCCGGCACTACCACTGTAACCTCTAAACCACTAAAGCACATCACCTAGTGCCAGATCCAGACACTTCGTAAACACCTCTGGGGTGATGCCTCCACCACCTCCCTGGACAACCTAATCCAATACTGGACCACACCAACAGTGAAAATATTTTTCCTAATATCTAATCTGAATCTCCCCTGTCTCATCTTAAGGCTATTTCCTCTTGTTCTCTCACTGCAGACACAGTAGAAGAGATCAGCCCTCACCTCACTACAACCTCCGTTCAGGTAGTTGTAGAGAGCAATGAGATCCCCCTGAGCCTCCTCGAGACTAAACAAACCCAGCTCCCTCAGCTGTTCCCCATAAGACATGTTTTCTAGACCCTTCACAAGCCTTGTTACCCTTCTCTGGACACACTCCAGCACCAAAATGTCATTTTTAGAGTAAGGGCACCAGAATTGAACACAGCACTCGAGGTTTGGCCTCACCAGTGCCGAGTACAGGGGGATGATCACTGCCCTAGACCTACTGGCTACGCTATTCTTCATACAGGCCAAGATGCCATTGGCCTTCCTGGCCACCTGGGCACACTGCTGGCTCATATTGAACCAGCTGTCAACCAGCATCCCCAAAATGCATTGACTTTTGGTCAGACTGAAATGGTCAGGGAGTTGAACTAGATGATCATCGTAGGTCCCTTCCAATTGAAATACTCTATTCTGCATAAAAAAAAAAAAAAAAAAAAAGAGATTAGCATTAAACACTTCATGAGGCTAAGGAAATCATGTCTTGAATTAGCTACAATATTTCAAGTTCAGATTGTTAGTTTCTGTGAACATATTTATCTCGCGCTAAATATCTAATATATCTACCCTCTAGTAACTTGAACATTTTCTCCAGGAAGTTATGAGGAGTTATGTGAATTGTAAAACCAAACTTCCTACATATGTCAGCAATGAGATTAATTTTGTAGTCATGACTTAGAATTATGACATTCACAAGCAAAACTATAAAATACATTCTGAACTAAAGCATATAATTTTTTCAGCTCTGCTTGTCCTCCCCTTTTTCCTCCTTATGTAAGTCTTAGCACTAGTTTCTTGTAAATACACTTCTAATGGATTTATCTTTCCCAGCTTTTACACTGAATCCCTTTTCTCTTTGCCTGTACAGAGCCTCTACAAAGCTGTGAAGGCAGGAGAGACTGCACAGTAGTGTCCCTGACAGCCCTTAACTTAAGCAGGTGCCAGGTGTAGAAATGCCTTTATGCAGCAAGTGAGCTTTGTGGAAAGAAGTGGTTGCACTTGCAGGTGGCTTTATAAGATTGTTATGGAACCCAGATATTTAACATGTTGGGTACCTGTGCTAGGGCCATGCCAGAAATCTGAGGAGTGATATCAATTACCGTGTTTTATGTTGTAGCAACTTATGTCAGCATTTAGTTGTCTTTATGCAGAAACTTTGGACTGTGCTCAACAGTTAAAGTTTGTGCTATTAAGCGGTGGCTATCCTTTTTCCCTGTATAGTTATGTCTTAATTTACAAATGCCTAAGAAGGGGCCTCTGCTTCTCTTTTTATGTGTTTGAGCTGTTTTCAACACTCAGTTTCATACTTTCTTCAAATAGTGCGAATACCAGCCCCTAAATTCTTCATATACTCCCAAAGGCCCCAAAATAGCTTTGTTTTCAGCTCACGTTGAATAATTATATCTAGATTTTAATTTTACATGGTGTGTGCTATAAGCCCTCAGATGTAACAGTTGGGCTGTAACTAGGGGTAGATGGTTAAGCTCCATCATCTAACTTCTCTGCTTCCCACAGCTGAGTCATGAGCAAAATTACAGTGACTGGTGAGTGCCACAGAATTTGTCCATGAGGAGGTGCTGATCCTCTGAGCAGATTCTGGTATGCTCAAGAACATGGTAATGCTGTTTCTTATGTGTTTCTGTATTATCTAATTTTTGGGTTTGATTGTCAGTTTGTGGACTTAGGAAATTTTATGACGCAATTGACATTTATCAGTGCTCCCTTTAAAAGTACTAATTCTTTCTAAAAGAAACCTATTTGCTGTTCTGATTCGGGATTTCAGGATTCAGGATTTTCATCTCTGAAACCTGCTGGAGTACACATGTTTGCCTGCATGGCATCAGTCTAGCTCCTCCAATAAAAGGCTGGTGCCTTGGCTCACAAAATGTTTCTCTCCATCTTCCCATCTTTAGATGGTGGTTTTTCACCGTCTGCATTTGTTTCTTTGTGAAGGTCCAGTCTGTTCTGCGGCTGCCGCTTTAATCCAAGGTCTTGTTTGTGGGAAAAACAACCAAATTTTGGTTTTTTCCTATGACAGCAAGGCTCTGGTGCTGCAGATCCTTGGAGAAAGCACAGGGCTGCAACACTGTAAGAGGAGCTGGGGATGGGCTGTGGTGTATCAGTGGCTCATATTTTATCCTTGGAAGGGAGAAAGGAAGGAAAACACATTAGTTAGAGCTGTAGTGGACCTTTAGTAGCACCATCTGTGAGAGTAAATCAGTATTGAAGAGGGATGGCTGTGATAAGACTTGTTAAAAAATAAAATTGAGAGCCATATTTGGGTTTTACCATCCACACTGTCTTACAGCTGTATTACACTATGGGAAGATACTAGATAAATAATGTATCTGAGACACAGGGTACTGCAAGGCAAAATCAAATTATAATCATATCTTCTGTAGGACATTTTTGCAAGGAAGGCTTGGCCTTCAGCACTGCAGCCACTGAGAAGCCTTGGCTCTGAAATCCTGCCTTGGATTTAGGTGTTTGAGGCTGTGAGAAATAGAAAGCCAATCGGGTAATTTCCAATCAGAATTTATTATATGATAAAAGCAAATTCAGCGCTGGGTGATCAGGGAAGGGGTTCAACAACTCCCAACGCCTGTCACACCCAAAGAAGACATTTGTTCTACATTATTTCCAGCTACTACATGAATATTCATTATACATAAGTATAAACATTACACATTGTTAGGTACATGAGTATAAACATTACACATTGTTAAATCAGACTTTCAGCAGATGTACGCTTGTTATCTATACAAAGTTATAAATGTTAAGAAAGGTACTATTATCTAGCTAACTAAACAAAATTCTCTCACTATAAATCCTACACAGGGTAAAAGGGAGGTAACTTGTTTTATCTCTTTATAGGGGCCCAATTAAGTTTTACGACTTGTTTTTCTTTACTCTACAGATCATATTGACCTTACACTGTTTTCTCTTAATTAGCCCGAATCATTTTCTCAGTTTATCACAAGGCTTTTCTGTTCTGGATACCAGTTAATCAGTTTTGGAAGTCAGCTTGTAATACGTCCTGAGGCTGATTTTATTTTGAGGCAGTGCCATGTTAACACTGGACCTGATGATCTTGGAGACCTTAATGATTCTGTGTTTCTACCTCTGCAGGCCTGTCCCAATGTATTTAATGGGGAAAGAGAAACTTCCTACCTCCCCTCCAAGTTGTTTGGGTATTGACTCTGAACCATTCTGGAGTCAATGTTACCCTTCATGCATAGAGTCTGGTTCCTTCCTGTCTGGTCCTAAACTCCTTCCTTTCATACAACTTTAAATCTTATTTTTAACTGAAGGAACTGATTTTTTTCAGAAAGAACATAAAATCTCCATTGTTAGTTTGTGTGTACCTGAGGGCAACTCACACCTTCAACAGGTCATGCTTGCTATGAAAGCCTCTGTCCTTACTGATGTGCCAGTTTGAACTAGTCAACGCACTTTGAGTTTGTGTTGTATTCCCCGTTGTTGCCTGGAGCTGTACATGCTTTACTGAATACAGAAGCCCTTGGCTAGTGAAGTATCTTTTCCTTTCAGTCGTGTACAGATTAGTTGCAATCCTGCAGAGTGTTCTTTTAGGTGACTCTGGTTGTGTTTGTTTCTGGTTTGTTTTTTGTGTTTTTTTTTAACCAACTGAAACAAAGACTTAAAGTTAAGCATCTGTCTGGTGGCTGCTTAGTGCTTGGGTTCTGCTGCTAAAGAGAAGACTTAGCTGTGATCAAATGAAAGTGCCAGTGTCCAGCGATACACCAATTTATTATGCTGAGTAGAGTTTAACTGCTGCAGCTGCAAGCACTTGGGAGCAGTTCAGTATTTGCAAATGCTTGGATCAAGAAATTAACGGAGCACATGCAGACTGGTT